CGGACAGAGTACACTGTTCGAAACGTTGAGTTATTCCCCGGTTCTTCTCAGAACCACACATACTCAAAGAAGAGATAAATACATGGTGTTACCGCAATCTTTACTATAGATCAACTTCATCTAGTTGAATCCGCGCGTGCGTCATTGCAACAGCGATTTCAAATTGTCGTTTATTTAATGGGATTTCAATGCGTCTTGCGTCTAAACGCCTCCGAGGGAGAGGATCGCGTATCAAACGCGATCCTGATTTATTTTTGGTTGTAGTTTGTAGATGCAAAGGCTTAAAACGATGAGCCAAAACGGGAAAATCAGCTTTGTAACCTGTCTGCATTCGTCCGGAATCTTAATTGATTGATTGACAATGGAAACTAAGCAACCATTGTTGATCATTGGTTAATGCGCACGAATAACACGTCAGCTTTATGAAACATTTACTTATGAGACTACTTATGTTACTTATGTAACTGAAAATCAAATCTTAACGTCATCATATTTGATAAAAACTATTAAACTGATTGCATTTCTCCAACTACATGCACTGGTATCTCATAACAGAACATACAGCCTGGGGCACATAATACTTTAGGTCATGCCGACACAACCCCGGCGGTACCCCCAGATGGTCGTCTTCGACTGACGTCAGCAAGCGGTCAAGTCTGTGAAGAAAGTAGACCGATTGGGGGCAGTACCTTCAGGTTCAGCAGAACAACACAAGCACGCACTCAGTAAGGGACAGGGTTGGATACAGGAGGCACCCTGCACAAGCAGAGACTGACTTGTCCAGGTTGACGGTCAGTTTTATTCACTGACAACACACCTTTTTCGCCGCTTTGCAGAGGGATGCATTTTCACGATGCCTAGTATACTTTTCCGGGCTATGAAATTTCCTTCATTTTATGAGTGCTCTGCTTTGGGGGAGAATTTCTAAAAAAAAAAGAAATCGTCGGTCAACCCACTCAAAATAGAAAGGAAAATGAAAGAGGACATGTCGAACATCGTTTTTCTGTGCAGCCTGAACACCTGTGAGGGTTGTATTTTTTAAATATTTGTGTGAAGTGTGGGAATTTATCACTTCTGTCTATGGAAATTTATTTCCGGTGGTTCACCCCTGAGATCCCTTCAGAATGGCTTTCGTCTAAGCCAAGAAACGGTGCGCCATGTTCTGGGATTACTAGACACAGAGGGTGTCGAGCAAAGAAGGCGACGGCGTATACTGAGAAGGACATACAACGGAAGAGCCGCCCCCCTCAAAAAAAGGTTACAAACGGCAATCCCCTCACACCAAGCCTTTGTTTCATAAAGTTTCCAAAGAAAAATAAAGACAGAAAGAAATAGATTAGAAAAAATAAAATAAAAAAAATAAAAAATATTTAAAATAAATTTAAAAGAGAAAAAAATCTATAAAAACTTTGGAAAAATGTTGGCTCTAGTGGGCTCTCGTAGGTCTAAACGTCATGCATGGCACAACTCACAAAATTGAGCACTCAGAAGTTGCAATGTCACTGTGCCTTCATTCAGACCCAACGGCTGTTGCTTGTCGTTCTTACCGATCGAGCATAATAAGGAGCTTTGTGATTGGTCTGCGTGTTCCCATCAAGAAACGGCCAATTGCCATATCAACCAGTGGCTGGCCAGTCCACATGATCTACATCCACTCGTGGCTACGAGTTACACATAAGGAAAAGGCTACTGCCAAGTTAAGGATCTGTGTGCTTTTATACTCCAATAAAGCAGACACATGTAGCCTGCATCATTAGTACACTGTACAGTGTTGATGACCTGACCAAGTTGTTCGGGTGACTGTACTACTGTGGGTTGTGATGTTATTGTCCAGTTCTGCGGATAAGTAATTATTGAGTCCTAACTTTAAGTAGCAGTGCAACAGTCCAATATACTGTGTGAGGAGGGTCGTTCCATTCTTTCGTGGTCCACGGGAAAAAGCAGAAGTCATAAGTGTGGGTCCTAAGTTAGTGTTCGTTGATATGAGAGCAAGTGCACGTTTTTGAGACGACGTACAGGATTGCTGAGGTGATCTTGCCACTATATGTCGACCAGAGAATGACTGATTTTGTACATCATATAAATAAGACGCGTGACAGTGCGTCTTGTTTTAAGGCTAGTCCATTTTAACCCTTCAAGCATGGTGGTAACACTCGATTCTCAGGCATAATCATTCGTGCATATTCTTCCAGCAGATTTGTGGATCATCAGTGGTTCTAAATGGTTGTTGCCTGGGGCTTCAATCATTGAAGCCGCAGGCAACAGTTTGGCCTCGGTTAGTCTTCACAATTCCGGTGTGCACTTTATATGACTACGTCAAAATTGGCGTAGCTTCTTCCCGTTTTATGAAGGGTATAAGCATAAGCGACGTAGACATGTAGGCCACCCTGCAGAGACGTTTTGGCCGAATTCAGCAGGTTTTTTTTGGGGGGGGGGACACACCCGCCAAAGAACCCACGTTGTACCGGGTTGCCCCAGCGCGAACCTTGTACCGTGGAGAAATAAAACATTTCTCCATGCTTGTACTAATTCTCGGTCACGGTACTGGTAGTCATGCATGCACATGTACACTGCTCATAAACTGTCCAATGCACAGTACATGTACACAATGTACATGCACATACACGTACATGAACTTTGCTTGGCCTAATCCCTTGCGGAGTTAATCTTAAATAAATTTAATAAGCCAACTTACTTTCCCGTGTCTCATCATGATGTTCACCACTTGATTCCATGATGCATGTGCATATACTTTTCTAGGGGTTAGGGTCTCGATTTTTTTCGGGCTAAGTTACTGTCCTGTTGTGTCGTGACAAACGTTCCGAAGCGTTGTGGGCGCGGCAGTCTCGATATCATGCATAGCCTGAACTTTAGACGACGCTAGCAACCTTGTCCCCAGCAGACACTTTATTTCCCACTGTTCCGCCGAGGAACGTATAGTTAAAACAGGTTGTTGAGCGCACCTCTCACTGACTTCCGCGTCCAACTGTTCTTATTAGCGCGCGTCGAATCGAACCTTTTTTTTCCTTTTCTCTACGCTGTTTTGCCCCTTCTCGCATTTTGCCGTTTTGCCCCCCCCCCCGGGAAGGGGTTTGCGTGTGATGTGCGCACAACGGTCTGTAAGCCTATTCCATTCATTAAAAAGGGATGTTCATAAGGAACTCTTTCATTTAAAGTTACAATCTCCAGCGTTTCCATTGTCTTCAAGGATTATTAAAGAACTTGTTCTGTTTTCAGCACGTACACCAGTCTTTTGTTTCCAGGGGATTCTAGAAAAGGATTCCCATTTCGGCTTCGATCAAGCTATAGATCCTACGAATGAAGGAGGACATGTCGAACATCGTTTTTCTGTGCAGCCTGAACATCTGTGAGGGTTGTATTTTTTTAAATATTTGTGTGAAGTGTGGGAATTTATCACTTCTGTCTATGGAAATTTATTTCCGGTGGTTCACCCCTGAGATCCCTTCAGAATGGCTTTCGTGTAAGCCAAGAAACGGTGCGCCATGTTCTGGGATTACTAGACACAGAGGGTGTCGAGCAAAGAAGGCGACGGCGTATACTGAGAAGGACATACAACGGAAGAGCCGCCCCCCTCAAAAAAAGGTTACAAACGGCAATCCCCTCACACCAAGCCTTCGTTTCGTAAAGTTTCCAAAGAAAAAATAAATAAAGAAAGAAATGGATTAGAAAAAATTAAAAAGTTAAAAAAATATTTGAAATAAATTTAAAAGAGAATTTTTTTTTTAAAAATTGGAAAAATGTTGGCTCTAGTGGGCTCTCGTAGGTCTAAACGTCATGCATGGCACAACTCACAAAATGGAGCACTCAGAAGTTGCAATGTCACTGTGCCTTCATTCAGACCCAACGGCTGTTGCTTGTCGTTCTTACCGATCGAGCATTATAAGGAGCTTTGTGATTGGTCTGCGTGTTCCCATCAAGAAACGGCCAATTGCCATATCAACCAGTGGCTGGCCAGTCCACATGATCTACGTCCACTCGTGGCTACGAGTTACACATAAGGGAAAGGCTACTGCCAAGTTAAGGATCTGTGTGCTTTTATACTCCAATAAAGCAGACACATGTAGCCTGCATCATAAGTACACTGTACAGTGTTGATGACCTGACCAAGTTGTTCGGGTGACTGTACTACTGTGGGTTGTGATGTTATTGTCCAGTTCTGCGGATAAGTAATTATTCAGTCCTAACTTTAAGTAGCAATGCTGCAACAGTCCAATATACTGTGTGAGGAGGGTCGTTCCATTCTTTCGTGGTCCACGGGAAAAAGCAGAAGTCATAAGTGTGGGTCCTAAGTTAGTGTTCGTTGATATGAGAGCAAGTGCACGTTTTTGAGACGACGTACAGTATTGCTGAGGTGATCTTGCCACTATATGTCGACCAGAGAATGACTGATTTTGTACATCATATATATAAGACGCGTGACAGTGCGTCTTGTTTTAAGGCTAGTCCATTTTAACCCTTCAAGCATGGTGGTAACGCTCGATTCTCTGGAATAATCATTCGTGCATATTCTTCCAGCAGATTTGTGGATCATCAGTGGTTCTAAATGGTTGTTGCCTGGGGCTTCAATCATTGAAGCCGCAGGCAACAGTTTGGCCTCGGTTAGTCTTCACAATTCCGGTGTGCACTTTATATGACTACGTCAGAATTGGCGTAGTTTCTTCCCGTTTTATGAAGGGTATAAGCATAAGCGACGTAGACATGTAGGCCACCCTGCAGAGACGTTTTTGTTTTTGTTTTTTTGGGGGGGGGACACACCCGCCAAAGAACCCACGTTGTACCGGGTTGCCCCAGCGCGAACCTTGTACTAATTCTTGGTCACGGTACTGGTAGTCATGCATGTACACTGCTGATATACTGTACATTACAATGCACAGTACATGTACACAATGTACATGCACATACACGTACACGCACATGTACTTTGCTTGGCCTAGTCCCTTGCGGAATTAATCTTAAATAAATTTAATAAGCCAACTTACTTTCCCGTGTCTCATCATGATGTTCACCACTTGATTCCATGATGCATGTGCATATACTTTTCCAGGGGTTAGGGTCTCGATTTTTTTCGGGCTAAGTTACTGTCCTGTTGTGTCGTGACAAACGTTCCGAAGCGTTGTGGGCGCGGCAGTCTCGATATCATGCATAGCCTGAACTTTAGACGACGCTAGCAACCTTGTCCCCAGCAGACACTTTATTTCCCACTGTTCCGCCGAGGAACGTATAGTTAAAACAGGTTGTTGAGCGCACCTCTCACTGACTTCCGCGTCCAACTGTTCTTTAGCGCGCGTCGAATCGAACCTTTTTTTTTCCTTTTCTCTACGCTGATATGCCCCTTCTCGCATTTTGCCGTTCCCCCCCCCGGGAGAGGTGGAAGGGGTTTGCGTGTGATGTGCGCACAACGGTCTGTGAGCCGATTCCATTCATTAAAAGGGGATGTTCATAAGGAACCATTTCATTTAGAGTTACAATCTCCAGCGTTTCCATTGTCTTCAAAGATTATTAAAGAACTTGTTCTGTTTTCAGTACGGTACACCAGTCTTTTGTTTCCAGGGGATTCTAGAAAAGGATTCCCATTTCGGCTCCGATCAAGCTATGGATCCTAGGCCTACAGTCGAACACGTTTTTATTGCACACGCGGCGCTGATCTCCTCTGTACGGAAGCGTATAATAAGGGCCACTTGCAAACAATCTTTTTCCAGATACTATCTCTCCGCGGCGAGCTTATAGCTAAAACTAGTTCAACTCGCTGTATATTAAGACTCAGTTTGGATACCTGACCCAATGATTCCGACTGCTTAGCTCATTAAAGGTCATGTATCACCCAACGTCCCCGTGACCAACACTCCCCCATATTTCCGGGAATAGTCGAACTATTCCAAACTTATCCTGTCCATATCAAATTCAGTTTAACATCAACACTCTTTCTTTAAAGCTCCTCAAAAATGTAAAAAAATTGTTTATTATAAAGATTAAAATTGGTAACCAAATGAAAGGGGAGAGGAAAAAGACCATTCGGATTATATAGTTAATATTCGGGCATTTCCGGCCGCGTCTGTACCAAGAATTTTTTTAACTGTCCGTGGTATACCGGTCGGAGAACACCATCCACCACAAAGTAGAATTAGGGTTAAAAAATTGGAACACGTTTTTGTTAAATTGAATGAATTTTAATTGAAAATGTAATGTGTTTTGAGCAAATGTCATTTTTAAAAAGCTCGTATTTCAGAAGTTTAGTATATATTTTACAAAAACCCAACAAAATCTTAAGGATCTCATTTCTTTTTTTAGATTCCACATCGAGTACATTTTTTAAAAACGAATGGATTTTTATATACGCAACGTAATATCTCTAGGATTGAATGAATGTTTAAACTTCGAAAATCTTTAAAAATATGACAAACATTTTACAATGTAAACATTTTGTTTTAATTTGGCCCTTTTTTTTACAAGATAACGGCTTATCTATTTACGGAAATCTCACTTTATCCACATTGAGAAATCATGTGAATTGCGAAATCCTCTGATCTGAGGAAGCATCCGAAGCCGCGTGTTGAAGTATTCGATCTTTTGGACGATATTTTGCAAAAGCCTCATAGTGCTTGCTTCAAGTATATTTTTTGAAAAAGTGAAGCTTATTTTTCCAAGACTGTTTTAACGAAATTTTCACAGGTTGCTTTTATTTGTTGTTGCTTTAATTTGGATTTAGGCCTATGTTAATGTGGATGCCCTCTCATTAGGATGGCATGAGAATGTAAAATACCTGCACCGATAGCTTCTTTACGCTTAAAAAGTGTTTCCATTTTCAAAATATGTTCAGTGTGCTCTGTACAAAATATTTTATTTCAATCTGAAAAAAGTTGGGACTTTAAAACTTCGTTCCAGTCTTTTTTGGACTTTACGTTCTTTTAAAATTCCTTGGAATCTAGAAAATACGCTGTGTCGATGAAAATTCATCTACTCTTTAAAATTTCATTCGAATCTAGAAAAAAATGTATTAAATCCTTAAAATTTCGTTCTGCTTTCGAAAAATATATTCAAATTTTTGAATTATGAAGCATTCACTTTAAAAACGTTCAATTAAAAAATGCTTTCCATTTATCAAAACATGTTCCAATCTTTTCGACCCTAGTTCTTCTTCGTAATTGGGGATTACTCCGACCGATATAACCCGGAAAGTTCACAAATTATTTGGTACAGACGCTGCCAGAAATACCCGAATATTACCGATTCCATCCGAATGGTCCTTTTCTTCTCCCTTTTACTCATTTGGCTACCAATTTTATTCATTTCAATCTTTGTAACAATTTTTACAATTTTGAGGAGTATTTATGAAAAAGTGTTAACGTTAAACTGAATTTATTTTGGGCACGATAAGTTCGGAATAGTTCGACTATTCCCTGAAATATGGGGGAGTGTTGGTCACGTGGATATTGGGATACAGGACCCTTTATTAGAAGAGTAGTCAGAAAAAAGTGGGTCTGATATCAAGACTGAGTCTTAGCATGCAGCGAGTTGAGCTAGTTTTAGCTAACTCGCCGCGGCGAGATAGTACCGGTAAGTCGCCACGGCGAGATAGTAACAACTTTAAAACGTATAAATTAATAAAATGGACGGCATTAAAAACATCCTCAGCAATTCAAAAGTTTAACCAGAATCCATAGAACCTAAGCTCAACGTCGAAGACAGACTCTGTTCGGTAGTGGCCTCGGGCGAAAGTAAAAAGTAACTGGGAAAAGAGTACTCCGTGAAAGATATTGAATCCTTAAACCAGGCAGAACAAGACAAACTTTTTAATCTTTATGAAGTTAAATTTGGCAAAGAGATCGCTAGAACTTTAGGCAGTTCGATTCTAAGTTTATACGCGCGACTTTTGGGCATTGCTATGCCAATTGAATTTCTTCTCGGCTTCAACGTGTACTTGATATCAGAGGAAGATCTAAATACCAACCCATCATAAGTCAAACGATGTGCCATTTTTTATAGCGAGATATCGTTACGGCGTTGACCTGTCACCTCTGGTAGCAACGTTAATAACTACAAAACATTTAGACATCAACAAGAATCAGTCTATTATAAAAGAACATGTCAACAGAACAAGAGCCCACAACAACTCCGACTCCAGCGCTGAGTCCAGTCAAACGCAGGTACAAAGGGTGACCAAAGTTAAAGCCAAAGCGAATAGAACAGGGCAAACGCTTGGCAGAACATAACAAGAAGATGAAGTAACAATTGGCTAAAATGAAAGCGAGCGAAGCGAGTGAAACGAGCGAAAGGAGCGAAACGAGTGAAAGTAAAATTTACTCGGCGTGCATCGATAACCTATATTTAATTTTGGGCGGTTTAGTACTTAGAGGAATGTTACTGGCGTTTTACTTGAAAAGAAGCCCAACGAGTCAACACCAGCAGAAGTCAGTGAACCAATAGAAACGTCAAAAGCACCCGCGCAAGAAGTTGTAGACCAAGAAATTTTAGACATGGAATAGAATTTTAAAGTTAAGTTTAAAAGGAGGTAATTTAAAAAACACTATATAATAAAAATTAGTAACACAAACACTAACATAAATGGGATCGCCAATACGGTTTATCACGATGCCGTAGTTTCAGGTATTTATGCTAGGCAAAAGGCTATTGAAAATTAAACCGCCAGATTTGGATCGGTTGTCTATCGAAGACGTGGCAAAAATGACCGCCATAGCCAGTGGTGCATTGGCCACGCAGGGTTGGCTAGTGGCGCAGGGAATATTGCCAGCAAGTTTGCCCAGCGGTTAAAATAAAAATTATTTATTATAAAAAATGGCAGAAGTAGGATTTGAACCGGTCGATTTTGACCCAAATGATATAACTCTAGAAAATCAAGAAGAAAATCAAGAAGAACAAGAATTAATGTGGGATAATGAGTTGGACACAAATCAACAAAAGACGACTTTTATAGAAGGTGTAGAAAGTCAGAGGTTAGAATTGTCAGGTTTAAGGCGGGAGTTAACTAAAGGTGAAGTGAACGACTTTTACGACGCTATTACAAAAGAAAATGGTTATAATCCGTTAATTATAGATCCAATGTGTTTAATTTAGACAGTAAAGATTGTCTGTACGTCAAATTTGAAGGTAAAAAAGTTCTTTTGGTTCATGAAAATAACGCAAACAAGTTTCTTCTTCTAAACACAATTAGACAAAAAACAAATACAGATTTTGTAAGACGCGTTTTAATTTTTTGGGAATACGTTATCGATAAAACAAAAGCAGAAAAGAAGAAATTGGCCGTAAACTCGCTCAATTGCACCCCAAAGACATTAAATTAGTAGAATTACTCCAAGAAGCCGATCAAACGAGTAACATTATAGAAGACCCCACTCGTGGTGTGGACATACAAACAGAAGGGCGAAATTACAGAGAACTCGTCACTTTAGACCAATCGTTACAAACGGCCAAAGGGGGATTAATTTTAAACCAAGGTATATTAGATCGATAAGACGCAAAAATTCAAGAGGTCAAAAATGAGTAAGACGAGGCGGCGACTGATGCAGAAAGAGTACAAATTCAACGACAATTGGACGATTTACAAGTTGAAAGGCAAGGTAGGTTAGAAGTTATTAATAGGAACACAGATCAACTTCGAAGCCAAATCAATCGCATCAAGGAAACAATTACAGCTACCATGGACGGTGATTTAACTTTACGCGAGACGATACAAACGTTGTTTAGAGAACAAGGCGTAACGATCGTAAGCATTGTAACGGCTTTCAGTTTAGCCGTAAGTACCTTAGTCAGTTCCATAGTAGCTAGCGTCAGAGCTGCCTCCATCCAAAGGCGGCATAACCGATTGGATTAAAAGACAACTACAAAATTTAGCAAATGTGTTGAAGAAACTCGGGTTGAAAGCTTGGAAGCATTACCCGGTGTCATTGGTAGCCATTTAAGTTGGCTTTTCAACTTGGCGAGTAAAGCGGTCGGTTGGATCGCAGATCACGTCTGGACTTTGTTTTTAGCGGTGGGTTATGCAACTTAAACTTTTGTACAAAAAACGTAAATTCGTTTATAATAGTTTTAACTCGCTCTAATTAGAACGGGCTTTTTTATGCCTTTAACTTTTTTAAATTACAACTTTGTACAGCATAAAACCTAGTACACTGACGGCAATTGCTCCTATAGTTAAAGTTGTGTATGTTTAACGGATTACATTCTGGACTGGGTGTTGAAA